ACAAAGGCCCACAGGTATTTCCACTATAAACCAGGTTCTTAAAACTACTTCCCAGATGTTGTCATCCGTTTCTGCTTATTTAACAGAGTTCAAATAGATTTTGACAAACAGTCTTTCTGCAAAGAGGCAATGCAGTAAAGACCTTTAATGACAGAACTATGTGTCATCTTTGCCTATAAGCATAAATTTGCACAGCGGGCAGTACGGTGAAAACAGCTTATCATCAACTCATCACCTCTCATCATTGTTAGAATGAAATGCAAATGGAAACGAACATAGCTTCAGTCATGGTTGTGAAAATTAGCATCTGTGACATTAGCAGTGGCTCATTTATTATGCACTCAAAATTTCAGGAGGAAAGAAAAGAATATAAAACTTGCTGTTTTCAGAACTCTACCAGTCTTCACCTTTGAAATAAAATAAAAACCCTCAGCTTTCCCCACTCAGGGGTAAATCCTAGTTAATATTCATTCACACTGAGCAATCTCTTCACTGCAGATCTTGTCCTACAGAAGATCTAATTATGTCTTGAATTATTTTTGGTGGTTAGGTTTGCTGTACCGATTTTCTGTTTTCTTTTCTTTAATAAGTATTCCCCATTGGAGAGTCACAAGCCACTGTCTAAAAAAAAAGCAGCACCAAAAAACTTGCTTATAACATCTGTCTGCACTACAGGCTCCAAACACTTAGGCAAGCGATAAACTTTACTCAAATGACAAATCCCATTGAAATCAATGGGATCACAGCTAATTCATTCATTTACGTGTTATCAGAATCAGGATCAGCCCTTCTGTGAAGAATATAGAGAAAGAGGAAATCCTGGCCTCAAGTCTATGGAAAAAATGTGCATTGATTTCTGCGGAGGCAGGGTTTCATTTAAAGCTTATAAAAAAGAAAATTATTGGTATGAAATAGTACTAGGGGACGAAGTTGCACATTAAAATATATCCTCCCATTGGATTTGCCACTATTTTCTCATAACCTTGTAGTTTATCACCTAAGTAAGTGAATATTGATTTAATTAGAAGATTGGACATATTTTTGCCTAAACAAAATGCACAGGCATTGACCATGAATTGTCTTACATACCAGAAGTAAGCTGAGTTTCAAGCACCAAGTGCATTTGGAAGAAAAATAAGGAAACAAAGACGTCTCAAACCTTTAGCATAAACATAGATCAACTGTCATGTAGAATAATGACACAAGACTTTCTTCAGTCAAACCAGAAAAAGTGGCACAAAGTAGTCTTTGCTCCAGCTTGAAGTAAAGCCAAGAATCCTCAGGCAGTTCTCAAGTTTGCTATGTCCATAGGAATTTGAGAGAGAGAGAGAAAGAAATAGGCTCTACCCAGCACATTACATCCCGTGAAGCGGGCAAGGCAACGGAGGGATGTTTTACAGATTATTTGCAGCTTCCATTGCCACTTGCACCTGGTCAAATGTGTAAACCAGTGGAAAGTGGAATGCAGAGTAGCTGCAAAATGGTTTAATGATGTTTTATTTGTATGGTGCCAGGATATGGTGCTGCCTGAAGCACATGAAAAATAAAAGACTAGATCCTGGGTAGTTTCTTAGAATGTTTTTTCATACCATCTTTCTAAATCTGCTTCATGCTACTACCCAGATACACTGATATCTGTAACGTCATACGGGCCGAAGCGGCTAAAATCCAGGTGATTTTAGGGGCTATCGTTTTATCCTCTATGTCAGCTGCTCATCTCCTCCCCAGCTCTCCAAGGGGTGGCAGACGGACTGCACAAACTCATAGCTGAAACATCTGTAGTAAAAGCATCCTTCCCCATCTTGCTACGGTACTTTCCTGCTCTGCAATTAAAACTGCAGCCACACAGGCGATACGTGCTCTCCCTGCAGTGAGCTGCTGGAGCTGGCCTGACTCTGGCCATCAGCATGACCACAAACCTCAGGGCTGGGTGCAAGACCTTGCCGGTTTGACCTCACCAGCCCACAAATAATCCTGCAGCTCAGAACAGCTCTGCCATGTAAACCAAGCCATGTCTTGTCTGACAGAAAAGAAAGGGGGGCAGGTGAGGACTGCAAGGAAGCGCTGAGAGAGCTGCCTCTTGGTGGATGCCCTGATGGGAGGTGCACAGGCTCTGTTGTGACTGAAAGTCATTTAAGGTCCTGGATAGACAGATAGGTTAGGTTAGACAGGCTTGAAATAGAGAGCTTAGCCCTTCAGTTGATTGAATTTCTTTAATATTAAGCAGGGCATTTTTAAGCCTTAGGACTTAGGACCTTTATAGTTCAACTGCCTGGGTCCTCAGCTGATTTACAAGGTATAAATGTACAGTTCCATGGTAGCATGTGAAGCTACAATGATAAACATTGGCAAAGGATCAGAATCCTTCCAGTATGTCTTTTGAAACCATTTCTTTCACATTTCTCTCCCTATTTTCTCTGGGATAACACCAGGTATAGAATTTTTTTGCCTAGCATGAATGTTTATTTGTTTAGTTTATATACAAAGCATACAGTAGTTATATGCATAACCATGCATATGCAAAAGCTGCTGGATATGCAAAGAAGTTATTAGCATGACTGCAGCACTACAAAAATCTTTCTGTATAATGAAACAAACTGCAACACTATTATTTCATGGCAATGGACAAGTATCAACCCTTTCATAGCAGACACTGAGTGTTGTAAGAGGCTACTTTTTGTCTATGTAGCATCTAATGCATCTGCAGAAGTCCCTTAAGCACCACAGTAATGAATAAAGTGACGTAAATGCATTGTACACAGGGAACTGGCAGTTAGATACTGGAAGTCTGTATCACTCCTGCATTGGTTGTTGACTTGCTCACTGCTACTAGAGGCTTTATACAGGGACAGCAAATTGCCTTGAGAAGGGTTTTAACACCAGCCTCGCATGGTATTCCTTCATCTTTATCAAACGGCATAACTGGATGCTGATATTCTTCACATGAGGAAGTAATAAATGCAAAAGGATTAGAAAGAAAATTCTGGTGAAGCTCTTGAATTAATGCACAGAAGTTCATCCAATTGTGATAAAGACAACTGGTCACTATGGGCAAGATTCAGTTCCCTAAAAAGATCTTTTTGGTGTCCTCTTTGAGGGCCTAAGTCAGCAAGCCTGATTTTCACTTAACACTCCAGACCTTATGACTCTCCCATAGGTCTTGCATCAGCCCCATGTGGATGTGTTGGAGACACTAGGACATCTAAGCTGCCTAAAGGCAAGGTGAGGTAGCCCAAGACCTCCACAGTGACAACAGCATCTTGCCCTGTGAATATGAGGAGTTACCAAACATTGCTGCGTGAGGCAGGGGTAGCCAGGAGGTGATCTAGGGAAGTCACTTGTGAAATCCTGTAACTTCTGTCGGGAGGTAAGGACCTGAGCCCCGTGTTACCCAACTCAGTATTAAGCAACTTAAGTATTTACGTTGCTTCCAGGGGGCACGTTTCGAAACATGCTACAACAAGCTAAGATTTCCATTCTGCGCAACGTGGGGCTCTCTCCTCCCATGCTCTTCTTGTGAACAGCACATTCAGCAAAAACATTCTCATTGTGGAAAGTTTACACAGTTCTGCAAAAGTGGGACTACAGTAGGTGAAGTGCTTCAAAGCACACTACTGAGGCAGAAAGACATCCTGACCCACTTTCCCAAGACCTTTCCGGTTTTGTTAACATTTACAAGACAAAGTCAGCACAGGGAAGTCAGCAGGTTTGACACTCAGTCAAGTAGTTAGGCTCTTTTTATCCCTGCTTTACACATACAGTGAATGAAATCCATGACCATGGTATACATATATATATATATTTGAGAAGCCACAATGCCAGCATTTTAATAGCATGGAATGCATTCATGAATTAATTAAAAAACTGTTAAAAAACAGTATGATGATTGAACAGAAGAAAATGCATACGTGATTAAAACCCATTCAAATCCATGGGAAAATGGCTTCAGAATAGTTTAAAATCCATGGAAAAAAACATTAATTTTAATTGTTAATGAGTCATAGTCTAGAACCGCAAGTGTGATACATAAAAGCCAATGCTGAGTAAAACCAGAAGACATTCC